AATAATGTGATATATAATTAATAAATAAGCAAAATAAAATGCAAAACTATAAGTATGACTGTCTCTTCTGGGAATACCTTTAATTTAACATTTCTTTTCTAATTTATAAACTTAAACTCATTTACTAATTGAAAAGTGTCATAAGTAAGAAAATTAGCACACTTGTTATAATAACAATTAGAAATACCACACAGCTGCATTGATATCTACGAAGCTATTAAAATTTATTGAGCTCTGACTTTGATTAATATCGAATTATTTATCTACTTTTGTTTGTTTCAATTCAATATAATGAAAACTATATTATATCTACCAATTAACTTTCCGGTTCCTTTAATTCTCATAATGGTTATAGAATTTTTAATGTTACAGCATTTTTAATGTTACAGCATTTTTAATGTTACAGCATTTTTCTCAAAGATTGACCTTGTAAATCCATCATCATCCTAGAAAATAATGATTTAAATTTATATTCCAAATTAGATTTATACGAGTTATCCTCACCTCCATTGATCCAATTAGAAATTAAAATTAATTTGTAAATTTAGCCAACATCCATTTTCTTATAACTATTCATTAGATTGATATAGAAAAAGTTACTGATATACCTCTTTCTTTAAAATCCTTTTCATAAGGTCTAATTTTTTATTAAAATCATCTACTAAAATTTCACTGAATCTTATCAGCAGAATAATATCTTCCAACAGTGTTTTCAACTAAATTAATTCTTCATTATTCCATTCTGTAATGTTTTCTTTTCCCAATTTCCAATTTTTATGTTTTCTTCTTCATTCAAATTTTTTCAATGATCAATTTTTAATATAGATATGAATGTTGATTTTTCAATATCCTTCAGATTGTTGGTAATATTAAAAACAATTTCGAAATAACATGACAAATAATGCAAAGAACTTTTAATTCTATGCAACAACAACTGGAAATCTTGATTGTCAGGCAACTTTGTCACATGTATTCGGGTATAACTATTGTTATAAAAAGTAGCAGTAACTTGTTTTACAATGGTGTACACAAATATATATTTAATTATACAGTTCAGAAGTTTTATAATAGGAACAAACGTTGTTGATGGTATGAATTTTTTTGTGCCACACTGTTTCATGTTGTATGGTCGATCTTTTGTCATGTGATGATATAAGCTCTCCATTTCACCGACAACTTCAGAGGCAGAATGTATCCCCTCAGGTTTTGCAGGCCAATGAAATGCCAGGTTTGCAAACATAAATGCAAAAACAATACTTACTTTTCTACGCGAAATGTGACGATTAGGGTAAAGGGATAAATGCAACAAGATTGTTTATTTTTTTCACAAAAAAAGCATGTATCATGATAATCAGATTTATACAGATCGATTGAACATCCGCGTTACTCAAGCAATACTATTATTATTTTAACCAAGTCTTAAGTTCTTGGCAAAATGCTCCGTTTACCATTGGGTTTACAAAGTTTGAAGGATCTAGATTTGAATAATGATTATGCAGATTCACCAGAATTGAGATAAGTGTCACAACCACATCTCTTATTCATCCTACTACCCTGACCATTTCTCAAATCCTTTCTTCATAGGACAGGTCTATTAGAATCACAAGCGCCAAGCACTGAATATATTCGCCTTTTATGGGGAAAATTAACCCTTCGGTCTGGATATCGCTTTTGTAGGATGAAAAATAGGACAAATTTTAACGATCTCGGAAATGGCATATTCTCATTTCCCATAACATATGAATTTTGATAATATTACTGATAGAAAATAACGAATAACCATTTTGGGCCATTTATAGTTATTCTTATCGGAAAAGCCATATACAATAAGAAAAATACTATAATTCATAAAAATATAAAATTAGTTGTATCGCAATTAATCTCAACAAAGGAAAATATTATGTACGTGCACGCTACAATAACCCATCAAATACTGCGTAAAATGTTTCATTACAAATCGATGTCAAAAAAATTAGAGGTAACGTGACACGATTAAAGATATCAAAATAAAAATATTAATAATTCATCTATTTCATCTATCACATTGTCTGGAATCCTTCTATGTGACTTATATTTTTTACAATATATTCAGCCTGTAGTACTGTTAATCCTTTTCCGTAACAATCCATAAATCTTGAGGCTCTCACCACATACTTTCTAATTTTGTTTCAGTGATATAGAATCAAAAGCATTGCATTCTCTTGAAGACCTTTCCATATGTAAATACAATGTTGTCTAACATATCATTTAGAAGCCCCCAAATACATTTCAATGTAGTTAAGCTCACAGTGAAATTTTGGATAGAAGATGACTTTATGTCCTCTTTCTTCAAGTAAGGGTTTTTGGTTTTTAAAATCATCTTGGGTTGCTAAGATATGTCTAGCACAACAAATCAAAGGTCCTTCAAGAGAAACTTTAAACAAAAAAATTGGTATGCGATTATTTTATATTCATAAATCCAATGTAATTATTATTGTCAATATTTATTGACTTAAAAAAAAAAACGTGTGAAATTTTTTTTTAATTACATGTTTCAAATTTGGAAAATTTTATAAAAATTACGTGATTTTCAAAAGCTTATAACTCCTGAACCAATAATTATTAGTCGGGCGACATTTCACAGTGACTGATTTTAATATATGATCGACATGACACGTTTTCTGTACAACGGACTTTGGCGAATGAATTGAACGTAAACTCATTATTAAACAATTTTCGTGCCTCTAAGTAAAAACAATCACTTGCCTTTGACCTTTAAAACGCGAGCTTTATGCATTTGTAGCTCTTCCAGTTATGGAGTAATAGCCTCTCAAAGAAACCTATGGTTTTTGACTTCGGAAGCTTAATTCTTTTCGGAAATCAGCTCTATTGAGATCGTTTTAGCATGATAAGACAGAGTACATTAAGAGCTTTCAGAAAATATATGATTCGGATGGTTTTCTTGGGGAAGGAAGAAATTAAAAGCAAAAAACGGTTTTATAAGTTATTTATTATTATATATAAGAGCTTTTAACAAATTTTTTTTTCGCATTACTGTTTTCTAACTTTTATTATATTAATATTAATAATGATTAGATAATATATGAAAACACAATCTTTTAATTGGAGTTTCTACTCAAAAGGTTACAAAAGAAAAAATATTTTAATATATTGATTAATATTTCAACTTAATAAATTATTAATTATTAATATAATCTTTAAATTGAACTTTTGTTTTTTTATTTTTATTGTGAAGAATTTTTAAGATAGTAGAATTAATGACAAAAATAAGAAAAACAAGATAATCTCAAAATTGAATGAACAGATAACAAAAAGGAAAACTATTAAATATTAGTATTAGGTATCAAAAATTATATTAAATGAAATTTAATTAATATATTTATTAGATTTTTTTTTTTTGTCAATATTTAATTGATTATTTGTTACATGTTAAAAATTAAATATGAAAAAAATATTTTAAATGATTATATGGCTAAACAATGTACCACTAAAGAAAAGTTTGTGATCTCACTGAGTTTTATATTAACATTATAATTTTTTTTTTTCATATTATCATACCAGTAATCTCTTAACTTTATTGTATGTTCATGAATCATGTAATTTAAATAGATCTTTCTATGTATAATAATTTTTTATTAATAAATGTAAATTAAATTGAATTATATCAGTTTGTAACTTCTGTCCTCATACATGTATATAAAAATTTAAACAATAAATGAAAAAAAAAATTTTTTTTTCAATCAATTTACATTATAATTGATAAATTAATATTTGCTGTTAATATTCCAATTTTTGGAATAAATTGACGATCTTATAGTCATTAGAAAGCTGAAGTTCCATCATCCATCATACTGAAAAATTACATATTGTTTATTATAGAGACTT